AACAACAACAACAACAACATGTATTTAATGAACACATAAAAACATGACATAATTTGATAAAAATACACCCACATACTGTTGGAATCTAGTGAAATTAAAGCAATATGAACATTCTTTAATTACATTTGTTATGTGTGTATGTGTTTTTTAATGAGAAATTCTTTCAAGTTCTTCAGTATCAAATGTTAATGTTATAATTGAAGATATTTGTTATATGATAAATATTATTTAGGTTTACAGTTTAATTGTACAGTACTTCTGAAATGCATTTCTTTTAAAATATCCTTTTCAAAAAGGAAAATAAGTAACATAAAAATTGTTTTATTACATTAGTAATTATTTTCATGCCTATAAAGTTCATTAGTATGATGAATATTAGTTACTATAAAAAGTGACTACATGAAAGGGAGAAAAGTTTCCTTTTCCATAATTCCATATAAGAAATCAGATCTTGGCAGTCTTCTGCTTTGAGCATGGTTTTATTAGGTATATAAATATCATATCTGTTATATTGTATCAACATTTGTGTATATTTTCTTTGAATTTAATGAATACAATAATTGTTTGATTTTTAAAGTATTTATTTTTGCTGGTGAGAAATAGATTCTAAATGTAGTTTGCATGAAATATGATATTATCTTTAATGATACTGTTTTCTTTACAGGGTGCATATTTTTTTGTGATTGCTTTATTAACCTTTGGTTCTCCTGTAAAGCATTGTAGCTATGGATTATTTAATCTCATCATCTGCAACTGTGATGTGATTTAGAGCATCAACTAACTGCAAATTTTTAGACTGATACAATTGTAGAACACATAGTTGCATACATTGATGACCATGCACAAAAATGCAAAGATCTTGAAGCCTAACTAAGTAATAAATACCATAGAAATTTTAAGAAGAAATGTTGTGTATGTATATAAAACATATTTCCTGTCCACATAACAATTATAATCTAGCTTGGAGTTTGTCAAACTATGACCTTTGGGCTAAATTCAGCCCTCTGCCTGCTTTAAGAAAGAAAAAAATAAAAATGTTTATTTGAAAACAGGCCATACCCATTTGTTTCTGTATTGCTTTCACTCTATAATGCCAAAGTTGAGGAGTTAATACCAAGAGCAAAGGGCCCACAAAGTGAACAATATTTACTAGCTGGCCTTTTATAGAAAAAGCCTGCAAACTTGTGCTTTAGCTAGAGACACCAGTGTATATTGATATAAAATATATGAGAATGTGACACAGACAAATTAGAAAATAGGACAGTAGAGAATATATTGCCTAATTGCATGTATAAAGCAAAACTGGTTGTTGTAGAGTTGATTCTGACCCTTGGCGACTCCCATGTGTGTCAGAGTAGAATTGTGATCTATAGGGTTTTCAATGGCAGATTTTTCAGAAGTAAATCCCCAGGCCTCTCATCCCAGTGGCCTCTGGGTGGACTCGAGTCTCCAAATTTTTGGTTAGCAAACAAGCACTGTTTGCACCATCCAGGGACTCTAAAGCTCCGTAGAGTCAGTAATAAAAATGAATATGTAGTGTTGGAGGAAATCAACATTACCTGGATTTATTAATAAACATTAATCAAAGAAGAGTGACTTGAGCTGGGTCATGAAGGAAGGGTAAGGTAAAGTTGGTGATGGAATTTTAGAAGAAGAAAATAACACAGTATGGTAGTAGAAAAGGCCAAGCTATATTCAGGGAGCAATGAGGAGTCCATGTTAGCTTATATAGGCGTTGCTTTTGTTGTTGTTATGTGCCGTAGAGTCAGACCTGACTCATAGCGACCCCTCCTTGGGTTTTTGAGGCAGTATCACTATGGAAGTCGATTGCCCCATCTTCCTTCCGGGGAGTGGCTGGTGGGTTTGAACCACAAGCCTTCTGGTTAGCAGTCAAGTGCCTTAGACACTATGCTACCAGAACTCCTAAACACTTTCCTTGTTGTTGTTATGTGCCGTCGAGTCAGCCCCAACTCATAGCGATGCCTCCTTGGGTTTCCGAGGCAGTATCACTACAGAAGTAGATTGCCCCATCTTCCTTCCGAGGAGTGGCAGATGGGTTTGAACCACCAACCTTCTGGTTAGCAGTCAAGTGCCTTAGGTATTACGCTACCAGAGCTCCCAAACACTTTCCTTAGGGACCTCAGTTTTAATAGGAAAAGGTTAAAAGGAAAGAAAGAGCAGAGTAGGTGGTGCTTATTCTGTGTGATAGAAGGAATTGCACTAAGGAATCTGAAGCATCATAGTTTCCATTTTTTTTTCTTATTTTTATTGTTGTTTTTGTTCTTAATTGATTTTCTTATGAGTTGTTTCTGGGTGTCCATTCCCTTTTATATATCCTTTATTATGTTTAGTAGTGTTCTTAACCAAATATAAAGACATGGATTAGTTTTATCACCATGGGTAATGAGGGGTTGTTAAAGATTGCCAAAAGCCATGTTGTTTATTAAATTTTACTAATTTCTCATGTCCTTACAATACGACTATAGTGTCTTGATTTTTGTTCTTTGTGCTTTAACATTCTACAGGACTGATACTAACAACCTGAACAATAGGTCCACCAATTAGGAAGATAAATTAAATCAGTTAGGAAGTTAAAAATTAAAATATTGATCTTGGTGGCAAGAGGGTGTTCATCTTCTCTGTCTTTAATTTTGTAGCCAAATTATGAAGACGTTATTCCACCAGACAGATGCTATAAAAGTAAGATTTAAGATAATAGTTCTAGATCAATTAAGAGTAAAATCTTGCCCAAAAGGCTTGATGACAGAAGAAGCACAAAAAGATTAAGAGAATGACATTGGAATGCAAAACTCGTATTCCTTTCTGAATTTGAATGAATCATAAGTTACTTCTACACTAGACAGAGTAAGTATGTGTATGTGGAGGAAACCATGGCCATGGAATCAGCTAATAAGAAAAAAGGTGATGAAGAAGTAGGTGATGTGCTAATGAAGAACTACATTTCTTCACACAGACCTCTGGTTCAAAAAATAGCAACGGTCCTGAGGAAAGGGTTTTTATGCAACAGCGATTTCCTAGGGAAAACTTTAAGAGTGGCATTATAGGTTAGCAAAATAACAACATCCATTAGAACTTCCATGTCTGGGTTATAGTCAGCATGAGTTAATTATATAGTAAATTAGGAATTATTTGATAGTTACAGAGATGAGTTCCTTAAAAAAAAAAAAAAAAAAAAGCTGCTTTAAAGCAGTGAAATGCTTGCCATTCATCTTAGAGGAAATTGAAGGTGTTATCTTAGTTGTTAAATCTTTGAGGAGGAAAAATGTTTTTATTAATGTAATTGCTATTTATGATTGTCTATTATTGTCATATTAATCACTCTAATAATGGGTGCTATGTAGGGAACTTCAATTTGAATCATTAAGTGAATAACCTCTGTCAACTTCAGAGGTTCCCTAATTCATTCTTCCTTCTCCACTGTTCATATTTCACTGTGCAATTACAGCTCCCAATCCTTGTGCAGCTAATGAAGGCAAAGGCCCCTGCTCTCACATGTGTCTGATCAATCACAATAGGAGTGCTGCTTGTGCGTGCCCCCACCTGATGAAGCTTTCCTCAGACAAGAAGACCTGCTATGGTAAATTTTTCCAAATTGAATTCTCTTAAATTGTATTAAGGAGCTCTGGTGGTGTAGTGGTTAAGGCATTTGGCTGCTAACCAAGAGGTCAGTGGTTCGAACCCACCAGCCTCTGCACAGAAGAAAGACGGGGGGCAGTCTGCTTCTGTAAAGATTTATGGTCTTGGAAACCCAATGGGCCTTGCTATGAGTTGGAATCTCGATGGCAGTGAGTTTTTAAAATTGTATTTGGATTCAGATTTTACTCAAAGTAAAGCAGAAGAGGTTTTAACTTCCTTAAATATAGTTATTTATTTATTTCAAGTGGTGCTGTTTCCAGACACTATTAATGATTCATCTACTGTTGAGGAGACTGACAAATTCTTTAAATATGTGATATGTTGCACTTTGCTATGTATTACTTTATTCATTTTTTCCCTGCTACTTTCTTATTTGGTGTGTTAGCAGAATTTATCTCTGCAAAGCAGGGAGATTTGTAAGGGAAAGTACATTATCAGAAAATGATGATGTAGGTAACCTGCATAACAAAGAGGTACTTAACAGGTTTTATCTCCTTCTGCTCTTCCCCAAAATGCAGATTAGAATCATTTTGTAAGGGATTATCAACCTGAAAGGAGAAAAAAATGAAGCAAAACATGTAACTTGGAAAGATTTTTAAAAATATTTAAACAGTACTTTTAAACTAAAATATAATGATAAATTTCCTGATTGAAAAGCAAGGTAGTTTTATTTTTAGTACATTTTGTCTGTTTGTAAGCAATTTAAATGTCAAATAAGAGAAATTTTATTTCATGAATTTAGGCATGTGAGATTTTAATTTTAAATAATAACATATCTCACATTATAATAATAATAACTCCAAAGACAGCAACAAAAGAATAGCATAACCATGAGTCCTGATTCCATGTATAGATACTCCACAAATTCAGTTCAAGAAAAGTGCCTGTGGAAGTAAAATAATACAGTGCCTCCAATGTTAGTTACTAATGATTGATAGAGGAAATAGGAATATAATTTTTAAAGGCAATGTTTAATTATATTCAATAACAATGTGGGGGGCAAAATATTAGATTCTATGAAGAAAAGAAAAACAAAAAAACTTTATTTAATGCAATACAAAAATAAGTTAAAATCATGTACACACAAAGAGCAAAGATGTTTGTCCGGCATTCACAGAGTTCATATGCTTCGGTAAGTTTGTTGACAACTGCAAAATGAAGTAGATTATAGAGAATTTCTTGGCATTTCTAGCAAAAGAAAAATGATGACTTAAGGATTTCAAACTGGTTTTCATTTATTTTATTAAGACCTTTAATTAAAAGTAGATGAATCATTTCTATCCTAATGTCTCCATTAAATCTTGATGATGATTTCTCCATTAAATCTTGATGATGATTTTCTAGCTTTAAAACAATCTATTAAATAGTCTTCATAATATTTCAGAATTTCTAGTTTGTTTTAAGCTTGCCAACTCTATAAGAGAAAAATAAATAATATCTTCTTGTTTATTCCTAGAAATGAAAAAATTTCTTCTTTATGCAAGGCATTCTGAAATCAGAGGAGTGGATATTGACAATCCATATTTTAACTTTATCACGGCATTTACAGTCCCTGATATTGATGATGTTACAGTGATAGACTTCGATGCATCTGAGGAACGTTTATACTGGACAGATATTAAAACACAAACCATTAAGCGGGCCTTTATTAATGGAACTGGGTTAGAAACTGTTATTTCAAGAGGTAAAAGACTTATACATGTTAGAATGTAACTTAAGAATATGTTATTCAATTTGTAAAAATCCCCCTTTTTTTTTTTTTTTGCTCTTGTTGTTTATAACCCTTCTCTATTATTCCACTCTATGTTGTGAATTGAAAGTTGGAATTTATTATTCAGAGATTTCATAATACATTACATTCTTCATTTTTAGAATGTTATAATAATGTTGCACATAGTATTGTGATAACTAGAAATTAACTTTCTCAAGAAGAAAAATTAGAATGGACCTCCTATTTAAGTTATACTTACATAAAGAAAAGACAGCACAGTAAGATAGATGAGTTTCCTTATTTTCAATTTCCTCTTGCACATCTTTCTTCAGAATCAGACAATACAAATATGGTGGAAGACCTACTCCTATCATTTCCTGGTCCAGCAGATTGAATCATACATGGGTTCTCAATACATATTTCTGAATTAAGCATTCAAAAAGAGTAACTTTTCCCAATGGAAAACATATAACTGAGATTTACATGTAGCTGCACTTGTTCAATACTCTAAATATTTGTCATTGAATTATCAGAAGATTTTTTAAAAGTTGGTCTATCATGATTTGGAGCTGGATTTTTATTTTATTAAATGAGTCTTAAATGAACACATACTGTTTACTACAAATGCACTAATATTTATGTTTTAAAAGCAAACAAGATCCATTTTCTCTTCAGTGTCCTGCCTTTAACCATGGCAGTGTGGTTTGGGGAAGGATGGAGATAAAGGGTACTCAGTAATCCATAGAGATTTATAATGTATTACGCTTTGAAGCATAATGATAATTTAAAATGGTACCTTATTTGTATAATGAGTAGCATTTAATAAAATAAAATAACAGATTTTAAATTCATTCTGCCTTTCAAGAAGAATTTTCCACGTATAACACTGGAAGGCTGGCCTGAGTACCACTAGTAGACAGAACATTTGACCACTAAAGTACTCTTGCATTTAGGCTAGCTTTTTACTGATATCAGATTTTTGTTGTTGTAGTGTTAAATAAAGCAATTTCCCAAATGAATTTGCTCATAAACTGATTCAAAGATTTATTTCAAATTTACCAAAAGGGAAGATCCTTTCTGAAAAAAAGCTCTGTAGAGAGATTCTTGAAGGATAGGGGAGAGAAAAATGCTTGGATAATCATTGTTAGACTGGATTTACAAAAGCGAATAATGTCCAGTTATGTTGTTGTTGTTATGTGCTGTTGAGTCAGACCCAACTCATAGCAACCCCTCCTTGGGTTTTCGAGGCAGTATCACTACGGAAGTAGACTGCCCCATCTTCCTTCTGAGGAGTACCTGGTGTGTTTGAGCTGCCAGCCTTCTGGTTAGCAGTCAAGTGCATTAGGGACTACGATACTAGAGCTCCCAATGTCCAGTTATAGGTCATAGTTATTGTTCGTGGCCCTTGAGTTGACTCAAACTCATGGCAATCCTTTGTATAACAGAATAAATTGTTCCCCAGTGTTGTGCAATCTTTATTATCTCAGTAAGTTTGATGGATTGTTACAGCTATTGTGTCAATCCACCTCACTAAGGGTTTCCCTCACCTTTGCTTTTCCTCCTCTTTAGAAAACATGCTGTCCTTCTCCAGCAAATGGTCCTTCCTGATAACTCATCCAAATTAAGAGAAGCAGTCTCTGACAATATTTTGTTATCCATGGGGTTTTCTGGACACCTCACATAGTGTGTGGTAACTAGAATTTGTAAAAGAGTAAGCCAGAAAACTAATATAAGAGGGCAGATCTCAAAGGACTTCATGTCAGGGTGAAGAACTATTTTATTACTTTGTTTTTCTTCCTCAAAGTGGTGGGGAGCCACTTAGGCTTTTAAACATGGTATATTTGATGCATAGGCGCTCTAATGGTGGTTAAGAACTCACCCAAGAGTCAGTGGTTTGAACCTATCAGCCACTGCACATGAAAGAGATGTGGCAGTCAGTCACAATAAAGATTATAGCCTTGGAAACCTTATGAGGCAGTTCTCCATAAGGTCACCATGAGTCAGAATCAACTTGATGGCAATGAGTATATGTGATACAGACTCTTTTGAAGAAAAGTCAGTTGGAAATATGAAAGATAGACTCGAAAAGTGATAAATATTAGACAAGGATTCAATCAGTAAGTTAAAGAAATATTCTGTGTGAAACCAAAATTAGACTAGAAAAATAAAAAAATATATATATATCTAAAAAGCAACAGACACCTAGGGCATTATAGATGTAGAAGTAATCTACCCTGAAGACTGAGAGAGAGATAAAGATAACAATGTAATTGGAAAGATGTTGACATTAGTTCAGATGAAAATAAGAGGAATAAGAAGAGGGTTGCTACAGACATTTCCCCAAGTCATCAATGAGTCCTTTATCTAAAAGATGAATGCATATAACTTGAGGACATTAACAGATATGAACTAATCAATAATTTATTTTACCACCCCTGTATTTTCTACAAAAACAATACATTTAGAATATGTTGTTGTTGTTTGCCGTCGAGTCGGCCCCGACTCATAGCGACCCCTCCTTGGGTTTCCGAGGCAGTATCACTACGGAAGTAGGATTGCCCAACCTTCCTTCCAAGGAGTGGCTGGTGGGTTTGAACCACCAGCCTTCTGGTTAGCAGTCAAGTGCTTTAGCCACTATGCTACCAGAGCTCCTATTTAGAATATACACAGAGGTATTAAAAGCAACAAAGCCACTAAACACTTAAATGTACAGTGTTGGGAAGGCATAAAACTAATGAAGGTGGGCATAGAATAATGTTAAATAATTTGTAAAGTTCTATATTGTAAACTAGATGGTGGGTACAGGGATGTTTTATTAATTTTATACCATATGTTGTGGTAACATACATAAAAAAATATATATGTATGTCATATCTATATCTGTATATACATAACATTTTCCAAACATTGCAACAAATGGAATATTTATTATTTATAAAGTTCCCTTGAGAACATTTTTCAAAAACTGTTGCCAGCTGGCTTTTTACACTTTTTTCCTAAGAATGAAGAAAAGTTGTTCAGAAACCTGCTTCAAATGAGTTTTGGTTCTGTATCATCATTGTTGATCTTACTTGCCGTACAAGAATTTATGAGTTCGAATCTTTCTTTCTTTGAAAGATATACCTGAGTACAGATAAACCCTTTGTGCCCACTCCCAAGACACTGGTGTGGGAAGATCCACTTCTTAGAAATAAATAATAATATATATATATACATATACATATATATATTTAAAAAAGAATAAATGTCACAAGTAGTGAATTGGAACTAACAGTTGTTCATTTAGATTTATCTATGTCAATCTGTTTATGTAATTATCATTTCCATCCTTCATCTAACACTTTCTCTCTGTGATCATCTTTATTCTACCTGAATTTTATCCTTTAAATTTCCTTTATTTTATGAAAATCTGTTAGTGATAATCTCCCCAAGATGCTGTTACCTAAACATACATTTCGTCTTTGTTTTTGAAAGATCATTTGGTTAAATACAAAATTCTAAGTTAAGACTTACTTTCTCTCAACCTTTTCCAGATATTATTCCATTATCCTTTGGCTTCCCTTATGGCTTTTGAGAAGCTCAATGCTAATCTAATTGTTATTATTTTATTAGTGCCTTTTCTCTCTAGTTTTTTTAACATCTTTTGTTTGTCCTCATTAGATTATTATTATTATGCCACTTAGGATGTGTTGTGCTTCTTAGAGTGTCCTATTATATCTATCTATATCTATATCTATCTATCTATCTACCTACTATATCTAT